CGCTCAGTCCCGAAGCTTTACCAATGTGCACACAAGACCGCTAAAAAACGCAGGAAGGACGGGCGATGAAGCGGGTCGGCGGTATTGGCGCCACCCCGGGAAAGCTAAAGCTTTAGGTTAGCGCACTCCGCGCTGGACCATGACGGCCATGCCGGGTTTTTTTTTGAAATCAGGGCACACGCTACTACTTCATACTTCTGTATCGTGCAGCGTGCAGCCACCGCTGAGGGCATTTGATACTGTGTGGTGGTAAGTGGGTCATGTTGACTTGGAGTCAATCGGGCTCTCAGGCATGCATGGGGCCGCGAGAGGATGCGTGAGCAGAAGCAACGTCCATATCTATCTATCTGTGTATTTATCTACATATTGTATATATAGAAGTATATCATATACTGTGTATATATATATATATGGTACCTATACGTCTGTCTATATTTTTGGGAGCTAAGGTCGCGTAGTTTCCTGTCCGACCATTCCTGCATTGTTCCTATGCAATGATATTATATCAGCAGCCCCGAATCCTTATGTTTTTGTGGCAGAGGCCCCTCAAATTTGACCTTTAGCCTTGGCGAGCCGAGCTTTTTTTCAGGAGCGCCCGCGGACGAAGCCAACGACTCCGAGATCTGTCCTTCGCCGGGGCACCAACTGTTGATCAAGCATCATGCGGCCGTCGAAGCTGTTTGCAAAGTAAATTAGACGATGCACCGTGGGATGCTGGCCCAATGCACGGTTGCGGCTCTAGCCGTTCTGCAGTCAAGTGTCGCTTGCAGCACAGTCCGATTGCCTTCGAAGCCCAGCTTCGCATCAATCCAACTCTGAGGCAAACCCGGCGGAGTATCCGCAATGGCCCTCCAGAAAATTGGGCAGAGATGAGCTGGAGAGAAAAGATGCAGGGCGTGGTTCAGTCGATGAGCCCTGGCTGAGATGGCACTGGACTCATAGGAAAGATTCGGTAAACCCCGGTGCATCAACTCTGCGCATGTGAAAGCATGTGAACGGATGCAAGAAGTCAGACACCGAGGCCCTTCGAGGTCTTTTTCTCGGTCTGCATCGTGGCGAATGCAGTGGAGCTGGGCGTCGATGTGCAGATGTTTGCACACAACCCAGGTGCGGATCCCCTGCTGCAAGGTCTTACTGTACTTAAAGGTTTCCGAGGAACAACATCTTTTGGTCTCCGTTCCTGCATGCCGCAGCTATTCTGCGTAGTCTGTAGTTTTGTCTCAGTCGTTGAATCCTCTTATGCACAAGTGAGATGCCTGGCGCAACCTATGTAAAGCTCTTACGGGAGCCTTCATCTTTATGCCCTGAATCCCTTCGGAGGCGAGGGTTGAGAGGTACCTGCAACCTTGGCACAACGAGTGGCTAGTATTGCTGGGATGGAGACAACCTTGCACCAGTTGAAGCAATTAGTCAAAGCATGCCGCACCCATGTTTAACGTTGAATTCCAGTCCCCGAACTGCCCTGATTTCACTGATGCAAATCCATGATGGCGAACTGGACTGGGAGTGTCCAAGGTCAAGTTGCAACCGAAGAGTAACTAGTACAGTATGAGACTTGAAATGGTGATCAGCCTTGCGGAAAGGTGAAGTTGCTAAATTCAGAAGCCAAGGGGTAGCCTGCGCTTGGGGTCGTAGACTATGAAAAAGCGGTGCGATCGAAAACCTGGTTCGTATTCAATGCAGCGAACGCGGAAGGTTAGGACGGTCGGAGACCAGTTCAAAAAGGCTTGTAACGTGCCTGCCTGTCCACTGATATCACAAGCTTTGCTTCAGGTCACTCCGCGATCGAGATGGAGGTTCGCCTTAGAGCGCCGGGAAACAGAGCGTCCACAAGTCCGAGAAACAGCTTCCGGTTGGATTTCTTTGTGAATCACTGTCAGGAGAGTCCGTTTTGCGACAGCTTGTTAGTCATGGGCACTGGTTGTTGTTGTTGTTGTTGTTG